TACTTACAAAAAAAATTAATATTTAAAAAAAATTAATTTAATAACTGCGAAATTAAGTTTTCAATCATTTATACTTTTATTTTGTAATGTTAAAGAATGCTTTTATCAACTAATTTCAGTAGATAAAGTAGTCTTTTATCTTTGTGTATCTTTTGTTATTTATTTTTCAAATTTGGGTTAAGTTTTTTCATTATGGCTCAAATGTCACATTTTTAAGGTCATGTAGTTTATTATTTCATCGCTATTGAAAATAACACAATTTTTTTATTTTTTTATTTTTATAACTCCTCGACCATTTTTTAAGAGAATTTTTTTAATATTGTTCAGTCAGATATTTTATTTTTAAATTTATTAATTTTTTCATGTTAAATGTCATTATGTTTTTGCAGAATTTGGTATTTTTTTAAGTGAATGAGCAATTTTAGGTCTTTCAAAATCAATAAAACAAAACTGTTCACATAATTTTTTTTTCTGTATTTTTCAAATTCGAATAAAATTTTGGCCTTTAAACCCAAATGTCACGATTTTAAAGTCTTGTTGTTTACTATTGCATTACTGTCTGATAAAATTGCAATTTTTTATAATTTTTCTAAATGTAGTAATTGTTTGAGTCAGTTTTTTTTATTTTTGAATTTTTTAGATGATAGAATTTATTATTGTTCTATACAATTTATATTTTAAATTTATTACGGGCTTTGGCCTTTTGAAATCATTTGAATATTTTTTTCTATCTATTTTTCTCTACGATTTTTCAAATGTGAATTTCTACCTTAAATATCAGATTTTTAAAGTCATGCTCATAAAATTTCAATTTCAAAAAGTTTTATACTGTATTTAAATTTTAGTGCATTTGTTCATGAAAAATTATCTCTCTTGCAATTTATTTGTCACAAAGTATATAATTTTTAAAATTTCAAACTTGTTGTTTACTTACCGTAGCCGGGTCGCCTGCCGCCGGAATAAAACTCTTGACAATGACCCAAATGAGAATAAAAATCATCGGCAACCCTGCAACAACCCCAATTTACCTCCACAAAATTAATTACAACCCTCAACTTACCCCACCCGATGCACACATAAACCCTCAATTTATAATTCTCCCTGGTCAGTGTTTCCACGACGAGAATATAAAGATACAATCCTGAAAAAAAGCACTCTGCTGAAAAACGCACCCTAGCCCAAATGCACAAGACATGTTGTGGGTAATTTCAAATAAATAACTCTGCAAAATCTGTCAACACTTACCCTCGACAAACATCCAAAAAAACGTCGAAATATGGAAGTAGTGTAGGAGTGTGATGACGAAGATGCACGCAATGGAGGCCCCGGTGCCCCCTTTCGACCCCAACTGCGGAATTATTCGTAACAGAGGGTTGAAAAGGGTGGTTTGTACTTACAACGGTCAGTGTCAGAATCCACATTATGTACATTAACATGTAAGACCACATGAGGTTCATGTGAATTCGGTTTCTCAAACAGCGGAGCTCTCTGGAAATTAATGGGGGCATTAGGGACTTAATTAGAAATTTATGCAGGTGCAAACCGCCCCAATTTTTAATCAAACCAAAAAAATCGATGCCAAACCGCCCCAAATGTGCTTTTTTTTCAATCAAATCAGAGAAATCGGTGCTCAATTCGAGCGTTTGTAAGTACTCCATTTTTAGCCACCAGAATCAATCACTCGCAACCCGAAATAATCCCCCAAATTAAAAATACATTAATGATGATTACGACTCTCCCACTCTGTTTGCAAGCGCGGAAAGTTTCATTTTTCACCCTCCGGAAACACTTACTTGAAATATGTGAAAATTCCCAAAGCTATCGACAACGTAATTAAACTTAAAACGTATCCAACGAAATAAATCGTGGCTTGGGTTTCGACATCCGGGATAAGAATGATTTCGGTGCATTTGGAGTAATCGGCTTTTGTCCACGTCCCATTGGCGAGGCAAAGTCGCGTTGCATTTTCTGAAAAAAATACAATTATGAAATAAAAAATTAAAAAATTATTTTGATTAATACAGTCCACAAATTCAGGCTGAGTTGAAATTTTCATGTAAAAATGCCTACATTGGGAGATAAGAGATTAGATGGGGTATAAGTGGATGTAGCAAATATCTGGGAGAAACACAGAATCGTAAAAATTTATCTTGGAGTGGTGGTAAAAGGACGCGGAGTTTACAAGCGATAAGAAACTGTGTCAGGGGATTATTTTTATTAAATCGGATGAGGAAATGGCAGGAAATACGTGGAAAGGTGAGAGGATAATGCTGGAGTGTTATATGGCGAGGTTTGGGTGCTTAGAGACAAGCAAATTTTTGTAGAGAGTTACACTTTTCGTGAAGAAATTACAAGTTTACCAGTTATTTAATTACAATTAAAATTGTAATCGCGGATTTTACTTGATTTTTTCGTTCATTTTTTTTTAATATTATTGTTAAATAAAGTTCTTAAGCATTTATTTTTATAGTAGAGAATTAAATTTTTATGATACTTTACTTTTTTTCTTTTATTTTGAGCGTTGGACTGTTTATATGTAGTTTTTCTGCCGCATTCAATATTTTATTTTTTTCTTATAAATATAATTTTAAGTACAACAATAATAAATGAGACTTGGTCTACAAATGTTGCAAATTTTTTGTTTGTTTAGATTTGTTCATATCAATAATTTGTTTATCGCATCTATTATTTTGTTTGATTTTTAAAAAAATAATTTTAATAAGAAACAATTATGGTCTCATAACTTGCTAAGAGATATGCAAAACTTTTCTTGAAACGTTTTTTCCACTTTCCTACAATTTCTCCTAATTACTGCCATATTCTTTTTTGTAATTACTTACTTTCTAATCACAAAAGTTTAAAATTTACTTGTAAGTTGTTTTATTTTTTTATTAAAAATTTCCCGGCGCATCCACCATTTTTAAGCCTAATAATTTTAAGAAAAACAGTGGTGGTTGAAACTTGCTTTAAGATAAACAATATTTTTTTAGAAATATTTTTTTCAATTCATCTCAATATTTTTTTTTAATTTTTATTATTGTTAAAAAAACACAAGTCCAATTATTTATTATATAATAGTGAATTTACACTTCACTTTTTTACATGCATTGATTTTGTGTTGACATGTTTTCTTTAAAAATAATTTAATTATTGTTAAATAAAGTTTTTGGACTTTTATATGATGTAGTAGTGAATTACGAGTACCAGGTGAATAAAAAGTATGGAACCAAACCTTTTTTGCTTAAACTATTTATTTTTTAAAAAAACTAATTGATGAGTGATAAAATGTGATGATTTAACGTAAATTATTATTACTATAAAATCATTTTTCTCATAAAAGCTATACTCTAAGGATTACAACTATCTGCTTTATATTTAATTTTTTCAAAACAATTTTTTCACATAAATTGCCATTTTGACAAAGAAAAATCGCATAACTCAAAAACAAAACAAAATTTCGTTCTGAAAATGCGAACACATTTTTTATATTACTTTAATTTATATTAATTATTATTTGCTGGAGACAAATGATTAAAAATAAAACCGCTTGGTTCCATACTTTATATTCACCCTGTATATGTTTTGTAATAGTTTTTTACTTCTTTTTTTATTTTGGTTTTTGAAATGTTTATAATTAGTTTGCCGCATTCATCATTTCAATTTTTTTTAATCAATTATAATAAAAAAAAATAGTTCTAACCAACTTTTTCAATAATTTTCTAATAACTTTATTATTGTTAAGTT